CAGAGTTCTTTTGCAAGTGTATCAAGTTTGGATTCAAGCTTCGTTCCCATTGCCTGAATTAATTCATGTGTTTTAGCTGCGTGTTCATCCAAACAAGGTCTTAAAAATAATGTATCTCCTAATAATCTACTTTTTCTGTCCTCTTATGGGTGGCCATGTTAATAATGTGTGGCTGAAACTTAGATTTTAAAGTTAAAAGTTTTAAAGTTACAGATTTATAGCATAAAATTCAATGGGTTTGGCAATGCTATTCGAAAGTTAAAATAGTAGTAATGGTGCAGTCTTTAGGCTTCCTCTTGTGGTCAAACATTACTATACAAAAAGAAAAAAGGAAAGATTCTGCCTCTTTGTTTAGGTACCCACAGGTCTAGTCCAATCAGAGGCAGTTAAAATCAAAACTATTTCACCCTCTCCTCACAGCAAACTCAAAACAGCATTTAGGCAGTCATTTGTTTTAAAAACAAACACAAAGAATTCCAGAGTCGATTAGCAGTATAAAATCCCCTAGAAAGTTTTAATCCAAAAGTTTCAAGAGTAATTTCCACAATGATTTCCAGCTTCTTTATTTTGGCAATAACAATAACAATAACAACAATAATAATAAAATAAAATAAAATAAAATAAAATATAATAATAATAATAATAATAATAATAATAATAATAATAATAATAATAATAATAATAATAATAATAATAATAGTAGTAATAAAAGAGTTGGAAGGGACCTTGGAGGTCATCTAGTCCAACCCCAACTGCTCAGGCAGGAAACCCTATACCATTTCGGACCAATAGACAGAGCAGCTCCTCCCCTCCTCGCCACCTTAAAGTCAGAGAGCTTCAGGAATGGCGGAGAGTTCCCTAAAAAGGGAAGGGCTGCAGGCTGCAGCCAGAGGAAGCCTCTTTTAGCGTGAAAGGTAAATGTGCAGAAAAAGTGGTATCTAAGAAATGGTGGCACCTTTTATTGTCCGTTTTTAACAGTTGGTTCTTCCACAGTGAACTCGCATGCTTGCCCCGGCTCAGCCAGGGACTCGCCCGGCTACTTCTTCTTACTTGCTTCTTCCAGAAGCAGCCTGAAAGCGTCCAGCTACTCAGGGGAACAAAAGGGTAGATTTCCAAAACTTCCTCTTTCCCAGGGAAGTTTCTTCTAGCTTAGAAAACATTCTAAGCCTGAAACTGTGGAGAATCTGCAGCAGATCAAGAGAGATTTGCTACCATCCAGAGGCCTCTCCTGGCAATCAGCCCCCAGACGAGCCCAGAAGAACTCCGAGGTTAACCTCAAGGTTTGTCCTGTCTATTATTATGGAAGGTTTTTTCAACTTCCTTATCAGATATTCCCTCGTTCAAGTCACCCACACATCCCCCTGCTCAGCTCTTAAATTACAGACAAGTATAAATATTTCAATGAAACACATAAACACAGAGCCCTTCTTCCCCAGAAACAAATGAGTTTTTTTTCCAGACAGAGCATACAATGCTGCCCCCATCCCAATGAACCAGACAGTAATGTTTGTATACTGTGCCATTTAGTTTTTCTTTTTTGCCAGAAACTAACCCAGGATCAATTCCCCTCCACCTTTATAAAGGTGGCTACGGAGTCCATTGAAAAACCCTGCAAGAGGCCCAACTGTCTGAGCATAGGTTCACTGGAGAAAGGAAGGGCGTAACCCTCTCCTTGGCCACCTGTCCAGAGAAGGTGTGTGTGTGGGGGGGGGGCAGGTCAAACGGTTACAAAGCATCGATTGGCTGAGATATGCAGCTACATCTCAATACTAAAGCAGCCCACAATTTCTGTGGTTTGCAGCTATGCTGACTGGCAACTGGTGCTCTCCAGGGGTGCAGGGGGGGATCACTTCCCTCAGGTTTACTGGGTGACACTACTAGAATCAAACCAGGAATGTTTTGCGTGGAATAACTGGAATGGAAGAAGCTCTGGTCGTCTCTCTCAGCAGGGCCAGTGAAGTTCCCCGTGGAGGACTTACAGAAATGATCTGAGAAAAACTCTTGGCAGTGCTTGACAATTCCTGGAGGGTTGATGAGACCCCAGAACACTAGAGGAGAGCAAAGGCAGAACACTCTGCCGTGTGAAGTAGTGAGATCGCCTTCAAAGGGGGTCTGGATGGTCGTCTTTCCAATTCAACACTTTAGAGCCCCCAGGTCTGCAAGGCAAGAGCCTACCAGTAAAAAAGAAGATATGCTATTTCTTTAAGAAACGGCCATTATAAGGGAGAGCCTTTGTCCAAGGGAGACCACTGTGCCTCAGATAGACGGTGTGGAGTCGCTCTTTGTGAAGTGGGGGAAAGGGGTGCAAGTGGGCTTGTTGATTATATACCTGGCTCCCTGCTATGTATCAACAGCCCTGCCTGAGCTGGCTGACGTGATAGCCGGGGTGGCGGTGGGGACCCCCAGACTTATGGTCTTGGGGGATTTCAACCTGCCATCAGTGGGTGAGACGTCGGCGGCAGCTCAGG